CCCCAGCCTCTGGCTCCATCATGGCCCTTGGCAGACGGTGGATCTGCTGGGTTTCTGGGCCAGGGCTCCACCCTGGACATACCTGCATACACAGGTGCGCCCCCCTTGACCTCTCACAGCTGCGCCTGCAGGTGCTGGGCTGGACGTGCTCGGAACAGACAGTGACCCATGGGGAGAAGTGGGAAGGAGCAGTTTGAATGTCCTGTCTGGCGCCCAGGAGCTCCCCCGGGGCCGGGTGGTAGGGGAGGCTTCCAGGAGCTGGCATTGGCTGGTGCTGACCCTGGCAGCAGGGATGGGACACGGGCGGCGAGTGTGGTCTGAGGAATAGGGAACGGCCTGGGAGCATCATCTCTAACTCTGGGGCTGGGGGTGGCGCTGAGAAGGGGGCACCTGGGAGGAGCTGAGGCCAACCCCACCTGTTCGCCCAGGCCTGGTCTGTGAACACTCTCAGCCACACGGAGATGGACGTTCCTAGGAAACGCTCTGCTATGTGTGGCATAAAATGTCTCACATCATTTCTTGTCCCTTTTAAAGTGAAAGGACAGTCGTTTTTTTTTTGTGGGAACTGCCTCGGGGCGTTTCCCGCTGCGAGGTGGAGGCGGAGCAGAGAACAGACAGAAGACCAGAGCTGCTCGAGTCTTTTACTGAGCTTGTTAAAAATATCTCAATAAATAAAACAAATAAGCAACATATACACTGAAACGGAAAATATAAAAAACTGGTTACTGAGCGAGTGGTGGAGAGAGAAGGAGCAGGGCGCGGAGCTCCAGGTTGCTGGGAACAGCATGCAGGGCAGGGCGGGCGCAGGGCCTCTCTCTGAGAGCCTTGGTCCAGTTTCGATAGAAGGGTGCAGGGATGCATTTCTGTTTTATTAAAAAAATATACATTACACAAAGGTACTTGGAGGGAGATACAAATCCAAAATCCAAATCCTCATCAATGTGTTCCTGAATCTAGAGTTTCCAGAAAAAATACCCCCTCCCCCCCAAAAAACAAGAAGAAAAATCCAAACAGTGGCAAGGGTGACAATGAGCATGACACCAGCAAGAAGGACCGTGAGTGGCCTTGCTCTGTGGGGCCGTCTCTGGGGCAGAGGGTGCCGGGCCGGGTCTGCGTCCGACGCTGTCGCCGTCCCCTTGTCTGGGGTCTTGCTGGAGAGGAGAGTGGGCCGCTTCCTTGAGGTTGTTCAGGTTTCAGGATTCCAGGCTTGGACGCACCCCATTCCTCATGCACCTCAGCCCCACGGACAGTCTGGAAGACAAGCAGGAGGGCGAGTGAGATACCACCACCTCCCTCAGCTCCAGGCTGCCCATCGAGGGGCCTGGACAGCACGGAACAGGTGCCTCCTCCCGTCCTCCCCAGCAGAGGCTGGACAGGTGGCCACGTCAGGGCCACCAGGCATCTGCAAGCTGCTGACCTGCACCCAGGGGCCCAGGCCAAGCACTGCCTCCCACCTCCACCCTCAGCTCCTGCACCCACTGAAGGGTTCTCCCCTGCAGGCTCTGCAGGCTCCCCAACGATGTGAGCTGTGAGGTGGGCCAGCAAGTGAGAAGTGTGGTGAGGTGGGAGGTGAGGACCCAGCAAAGTGAGATGACTGGCTCCTGGCCTCTTGCCTGCTGTTGGGGGCTGCAGGTTGACCGCCCAGTCCAGCCAGCCTGTGTCCAACCCTGATGTGTGGCATCACCATTCCCAGGGGCCTGAGCTTTAATAGGGGTCCTACAGCCTGGCTTATGAGCCCTGGGGGGTGAAATGCCCACCCTCAGGCCGGTGCACACGGCACTCACTTCCATGACTGGGACATCAGACCCCAAAGGAGGCGGGCTGCTCATGAAGATCCCTTGAGGCCCTCCCTGCACTGGCCATGCTGGCTCTGGGGTGACCCTATGTGAGGTGTACGTGCCCTCACCCAGAGGTGTGTGGGGGGGAGCTGGCTGTGGATGTAAGTACCCACAAGTCTGCAGGGCAGCTAAGGTGGGGCTGGGGGACAGAGATGGAGGTTGGGAATGGATTCACCAAGGAAGAGGCAGGAGACAGGTCATCATGAGGAGGTTGCTGGGGGGAGGAGTGGCAGGGGCAAGAAGTCAAGGAGAGGCACCTCAGGTCCTGGGATGAGATGTGTAAAGATACAGTGATGGGTAACATCCTCAGCAGTGCGTTTGTGAGTGTGCGTGTGTCCATGTGAGTGTATGTGTCTGTCAGTGTGAGTGTGTGAGTGTGTCTGTGTGAGTGTATCTGTGTGTGTCTGTGTCAGTGTGAATGTGTCAGTGTGAGTGTGTGTGTGTCTGTCAGTGTGAATGTGTCAGTGTGAGTGTGTCAGTGTCAGTGTGTGTCAGCGTGTCAGTGTGTGTCAGTGTGTGTCAGTGAGTGTCAGTGTGTGTGTCGGTGTGTCAGTGTGTGTCTGTGTGAGCGAGTGTGTCTGTCAGTGTGAATGTATTAGTGTGCACGTGTCAGTATGTGTGTCAGTGTGTATATGTGTGAGTGTGTATCTGTGAGTGTGTGTGTCTGTGTGTGTGTCAGTGTGTGTCAGTGTGTGAGTATGTGTCTGTGTGTGTCTGTCAGTGTGAATGTATCAGTATGCGTGTGTCAGTATGTGTCAGTGTGTATAAGTGTGTGTATCTGTGTGAGTGTGTGTGTCTGTGTCCGTGTGTGTCAGTGTGTGAGTGTGTGTCTGTGTGAGTGTGTCAGTGTGAATGTATCAGGTTGCGTGTGTCAGTATGTGTCAGTGTGTATATGTGAGTGTGTATCTGTGTGTGTCTGTGTCCGTGTGTGTCAGTGTGTGTGTGCGTATATGTGTGAGTGTGTATCTGTGTGTGTCTGTGTCCGTGTGTGTCAGTGTGTGTGTGCGTATATGTGTGAGTGTGTATCTGTGTGAGTGTGTGTCTGGGTCAGTGTGAGTGTGTCAGTATGTGTCAGTGTAAGTGTCGGTTTGACCCGGACGCTGCTCAGCTGAGGACAGCAGGTGGGTGTGCTTCCTCCCACAGAACCCCGAGCCCCACGCTGACACCCTGCTCCTCAGGGAAGTCTAGAACCTTTGCTGAATGAAGACAAAGGGCTGAAAGATTCAGACACACCTTCTCTAGACCTTGTGAGCGTGCGCGCGCGCGCGCACACACACACACACACACACACACACACACACACACGCTTCCTTTCTTCTAGTTCAGAGCACTCCAAATGCGAAGCCTTTCTAAGTGGCCTGGGCAGGGCGTCGGGCTGCTCTCCTGGAGAATGTGGCTGTAATTAGTTAACTAATGGGGGGCTGGAGAAGCCTAAGGGGAGCCCTTCCTCAGTGGGCGGGGCGCCACCAGGCTTCTGATATAGGGGCTGCCCCGCCCTCCAAGGGGAAATGCGGGCTCATCCACGAAAAGCCAGAGGTGACGGGGCCATCCCCACACAGTGGTAGGTCTCAAGGTTTCAAGGTTTCAAGGTTTCAAGGTTTCAAGGTGGGCGCAGGGCCCGGCAGAGACGAGCGGCCAGCTCATTAGTCTTCCTGACGAACAGCCTCGGGCCCGGCCCCCTCGATGTCACCCTGACCCCGGCCATGTCTGCTGACATGGACAGCGCGCTCAGCAGCAAATGTAAACCATCTGGGCCCAGGCCGCCTCCCGGGCATGAGCGCCACCTGAAACCCTTGCGTGTGTGCGTCTGCCTCTGCCTGACAGCCCAGGAGGGGGCGGTGGACGGAGCTGGAGCCTCTACCCTCCCCCACACCAGACGGGGCAGGTCTTACTCAACTCTGCATCCCAGGACCTGACACAGGGAGTGAAACATCAATGACATTCTCCAGAAAGTGAGGCCGGGCTGGCTTACGGGGAAAGGGTTTACTGAGGCTTTCCATCGACCCACCCATTCCCCATCTACCTGCAAACCAGTCACCCAGGTTCCCATACCCAGTCCTCCCCTCCCTCGACCGTGCTCCCCCTTCCTTCCACCCACCCATTTTCCCATGTGGACTGCGCACTGATCATGTGCCTTGTGTGCCAGGAACGCCGTTCGTGGTTTAAAAAGCTCAGACACACGCCTGAGGACTAGCAGGGGGGAAGAACATGCAGGTGAACAGCTAGAACCCAGGCAGGCAGCAACAGCGTTTCAAAGGAAGTGCAGGTGAGGCCCTGCAACCAGAAAGGAAAGGGCCACAGCACCTTGGACTTTGTTGGACTGTCAAGAGCAGCAGGCGGGCCCTGGCCAGTTTTCTCAGTGGTTAGGGCAGGGCCCTCAGACCAAAAGGTCTTGGGTTCGATTCCTGGTCAATTGCTTCTTGACTCAAGAAAAGCTTGCCCTTTGTCCATTCCTCCTCAGGCCCACCCCAGTGCCCTCTTGGAGGGCCCAGCTTTCCCGAGAAAGGTTGAGTGGGCGGGATGCCCTCATCCCAGCCGCAAAGCCCCCAGATCACTCGCGGGTGATGGGCGCCTGCTGACCCTGCAAGACACGCCCTAGAGGCTGCCGTGCCGAGCTGCACAGCTTCCAGGTGACAGGGTCTCCGGGTCCGGTGGCTGTGGTGCATTTGGTGAATCTCAGGAGGGCTTCTCTGAGGCCGGCACCGGTGTGTGTCCGGGGAACTGTGCCCGTATGTGCCGGTGCTACCAAGCTCCTGCGCTCTCTGCACCCTCTGCTTCCACAACTGGCCCACTGTGTGGGCCCTGCACGCGGGGCCTGGGTTGGCGGGCGGGGTGAGAGCAGGCGAGGACAGGCTGTCCCTGTCCCCGTCCCCTGGCCCCAGGACTCAGGCCGTGACCCCAGCTCCCGCCGTCCGTGCGTGAGAAAGAGGAGTCCTGTGTGCAATGGCCGTGTTTACGATGCCAAGGCCGCTCTTCTATGGCTCCCTGGTGGCTCGCAGCAGAATCTTGGCCTTGCCCTGCGGGGAGGGAGAGCTCCACGCCCACTTGGAAGCAGGGTTCTCTCTCTCTCTCTCTCTCTCTCTCTCTCTCTCTCTATCTCTCTCTCTCTCTCTCTCTCTCTCCCGCCTTGGGCTGGGCTTCGGCTTCGATGAGTCAGGCTGACTGTGCCTGGAACGGACTGTCTGCCAAGGAGGCGTCAGCCTGAGAACAGCCAGGGAGGCAGCTTGCCGCTGGGGGACCAGCGGGTCTCCTCTCCTTGGTGCGCGCAGTGTCCCTGCCTCGGAGACCGCCCTGCAGACCCCACCCGAGGCTTCCGCGGCGAGCTGCTGGATCCCGGGGGAGCTGGGCAGGAAGCCCTGTGTTCCCACTGGCGCTGGCGCTGGCGATCCTCAGTGCTGACCCATCCCGCCTTCCTCCGAGCAAGGCCTTCCCATCTCTTCTCCGTGAGTCACAGATGCTGCAAATGGGTTTCGAGATAGTGAGGCTTGCAGTCCTGAGTAAGCAGATAGCAGGGGAGCCGCCTCTTCCCTGGACACGGCCTCCAAACCTGGACTCCTTCCACCAGCGAGCTTTTTCTCCAGGGGTCGCTAAATTCAGCTCCCACATACAACGCCCTGGCGGAGAGGGTGGGGTAAGCAGCCACCCTGCAGGGCTGACTTCAGTCGGCGGGGCAGGAAGTGCCCTTGAAGACCGCCCATCAGATGACGACGTTTCAGAGACGGGGTTGGTGGTGACTTACCCCCGGTCACCAAGTTGGGATGGAGTCACCCCAGAATGCAGGTCAGCTGGCCCTGGGCGGTGTGACTGCCTCCTCTCCAACGACTGCCTTCGCACCCACAGCACCTGCCACACAGCACCACGCCACAGCCCTGACCTCCCACAGCACCTGCCACATAGCGCCACGCCACGGCCCTGGCCTCCCACAGCACCTGCCACACAGTGCCACGCCAGGGGCCTGACCTCCCACACAGCACCACGCCACGGCCCTGACCTCCCACAGCAAACAAACGAGAAGACACCCTGCTCCCAGGGTTGGCTCAGGAGATCCAAGGTCAGCGAGCCAGGCACTGCCCTCACCCCCACAGCCACATGAGGACAGACAACAAAGTGTCCGAACAGGGATGGGATGTGTTCTAATGATGCTGCAATAAATTTCACAATAGCTACAACTATTTCACTATAAAATATGTACCATCAATCTGAGTGATTATGGCAAAGCGTAATGTCAGCATAAAGGCTTAACAATGTGCAGGATGCAAGCACAGAGGAGGCACCAGTTACCTTTCCAGGGGCTGGGAGAGCTCTCTGCAGGCTCAGGGGTGGGAGCTGGCTCTTCCAGGATGTCTGGGCCGGGGCTGTGGGGTGAAGGGCCTGTGGGCAGAGGTGAGGGCACAGGGCACACATAAGGTGGGTTGGAGGAAGGTTAGGATTGGGGGGGCAATGGGGAGCAGTATCTCCTGGGAGGGCTAGAAACTTGCAGGACCCCACAAGACAACCAAGGCCGTGAAAAGTGCGAGGGGCTCTGGCCGGCTCGGATCTGCTCTGCAGAGGTAGCCGTGGGTGCACCCAGGGCGGCCAGGAGGGCAAGGACCCGGTGGGCCTTGGGCAGGGCGGCCCTGGCTGTGGTCCAGGAGAAAGGGGCTGAGGAAGACAACAGCATGCTGGAGAACCAGCTGGGGTGACCGAGGGGTCCGGCTGGGGCAATGAAGGGGTCGTGAGTCCAGAAACAAAAGGGATTTTACTTTCACTATTTTGTCCAAGGCCAGCAAAGGCCAGAAGAGGGGTGGGGGCTTCAGAGGCAGCTTGTGAGGGAGACTGATGCACCCTCACCCCCGACAAAACTGGGGGTAGAGACCTTCAGGGGCATCAGGATGCTGGAGAGGCTGCCCACAGTCTGTGAGGGGCACATGCGGCGCTGGCTGGCAGTGCCCCCTGCTGGAGGGAGCACCGCCCTCAAGAGGAGACAGCCAGGACCTGGACTTGGCAATGAGGAGTGGCCAGGCCACCTCAGGAAGGCCTGGGCCCCTGGGGACAGTCTTCCGCACATGTAGAAAGACAGCGAGGGGGCCGGGAACGGGGACTGACGGTGGCCCACACCTCCCACCCTGCGTGCCAGGCCCGTGCGCTTTATATGGAATTCACTGAACGCTCTCAGAAACCTCCTGCAGGAGGCACCCTCACCTCCCACGTGTTCAACAGGGACACCCCGAGCTCGGGGAGGGGCAGGCTTCTCGGTGTCACAGCAGGGGCAACGGGATGGGAATTAGCCCCAGGGCCCCGGTCTGAAGCAGGCCACCGTCTCCCCTGCGGGCACAGAGTCTGCCATGTGTGGGAGGACATCCCTGAGACTATTTCCTATGAACTACGAAAAAGGGAGGAGGAAACTGCCCTGTAGTGCTCTGAGGATGCGCACCCCATCACTGCCTCCAGCTTTAGTTCCCAAAATTAGCCTCTGAAAGGTGAACACTTTGTAAAACTCAAAACGCTTTACAGAAACGAGGACACCTACACCTATCTTACCAGGCCCTCTTTTTCTCGAATGACCCAGACAAAACATGCTCCTTTGGAAATGTTTGTGTCCGTATATCCATGCATGTTCAGAAGAATGCAAAAACCTGACGGAGCTTTGGAAAGAATCCTGCCCGATCCACTTCCCAGCCCCAGAGATCTCTGGGAATCCTGGTTGCAGCAGACGCTTGAGATGTGGTTGCTTTAGAAAAGCCAGCAGCGCCATGGGCCCTGGCGTGGAGGGCCTGCGTCTAGGCACTGCGATAGCCCGGCTCCTGGGTGGCTGGGGCCTTGGCCAGACCACCCCTTTGGCAACGAGGACAAGGCCCCTTCCCAACCTCTGCATTGTTACTTTTAGCCCGTTCATACTCTCAGACTTCAGCCCCATGTGACTAAGACTGATCTCCGTTGGGAAACATGTCATATGTAGCGACCAACTATCATGCACGCAGGCTTTGCCCGGTTCAGGTAAAATGGCTCCAAGAAGCATGACAGGATGAAAGAACGGCCCCAGCCGGACAGGCGGTGTGGCTGCGGGTAGTCAGTGTCCAGGCCAGGAAGGGACCAGCTATCCTGGTGGTGACCCGGCAAGTGCTCATTTGGACCCAAGGCTCTGGGTCCCGAGGGCAGCGGTGCAAGTTTACAGGATGGGCTCCAAGGGCGCCAGGCGACACCCTCCACCCAAGGACACAAGTCAGGACGTGCATGACAACACACAAGAGCTGAAGAAAAATGGAGAAATGATCAACTTGGCGGACCAATGGAAGAGGAATGGACCAATAGCCCATGAACAAACCTTGCTGTTAAATTTCAGCGGCCCCACCTCCCACCCTTGCACTAAAGACACTTGTCTGATTCTCCTGCTGATTCAGACAGAAAGACACCATGGTGAGCTCCACAGAACAAGCACGCAGGGCTGTCTAGGGGCCAATGTGGAGAGCGAGGGCAGCACAGACTCGGAGGACAGTGAGGCTTACTGGTCGCACCATTCCTCCTGGAAAGCGTGCAGCCACCTCTCCTCCAGGCCCCAGCACTCTCAGAGCAAGGAGCCATCAGCCAGTCAAGCCGAGCCCCAACCTTTGAACGTCCACCTTTTCTTATCTCTGGGCCTCCTTCTTGGGGGCGGGGCCAGGTGGTCATAGATCAGTCAGGGGAAGGGTATCTGATAGACTGCTCCTCTCACCCTCCGACTCATCCACCAGCTGACCTCAAACACCTGGGAGCCCCAGGGCTCAGGGACAGCAGACAGGGAAGTCAAGGCCAACCTCCGGACCTGCACGGTTACGCTCGTGAGACCCAAGTTGTTACTGAGAAGAATGCCGTAGAGGTGTCTTGCTGGTCACCAGGCAGGACCATGTAGCAGGAAGTCTCCCTGTGGTGTTAACAGGGAGATCCTGTCAGCCGTGGGGGCCTCCCAGGAGTCCCTACCCTCGGACGGTCGGGGTGAACCATGCTCACCCTAAAGCAGAGGGGGCTGGCGTTGCCTCTGGAAAATGGGTTAGATATTTTCTCCCCAAAGGAGCAGCCATCAGACGCTCCCCAAAAGAAACCTGTGCCTCCCAGCATTTTGCTTTGGAGATCGGAGCTTCTAATTCCATGAGACACAAATGCAAGCAAACTGAGCGGCATGCTTTGTCTGCACTGAATCCAGAAGGATCTGTGAGGGGGGTGGGGTGGGCTTGCAGTACCAGTGACCCGCAGCGTCACCTCCCTCCCTCAGTGCTGCATGTCACCTGCCCGGGGTGACCGTGCGGCTGTGGCGTCTGAGGAAGACTCCGCTGGCCTGGTGTCCTGACCTGCGGGCTGAGTGGCTTCACCTGCGGAGGGCGGGTGTCCGGCTGCAGATGCTCCCTGGAGTCTCGCAGCTCTGACCTCCACTCGAGAACTTAGAGTGATACCCTCGCCCCAGATGGCACTCTCAGCCCCAGGACCCAGTAAGGAGACACAGAATTGTGGTCATTTTTGCTCAATTTAAAAAGATTCAATATTCCTGGGTTAAAACCCCACATTTACAAATTACAGTTTATTTAAAAGAATCTTATGGAATTTATTTTGTTTTAAAAAAATTTTGAATAGTAAAAAAACAACACCTAAATCACTCAGTGTTTTCCTAAATGGAGAGTTCTTACAGAAAGTGGCCCGGCGAGGAAAGATGCGCATGCTCCCCGTCCCAGAGGAGCCCGAGGGGCACCGTCTCTAGGCTGTGTGACCTTGAGAGAGCGCTCATCCCTGTCACAGGCTGTGACTCACTGGCTCTTAGCTCCTCCCCGCTGAGGACTGTGGGAGCAAAGCCTCTGAAAACAAACAAACGTTCCCCAGTGTCAGGTGTCATGCCAGGAGGCGCTGACATGTGCCGGCTTTTGGCTCTGCTTCGGGGGGTGTGGCCCAGGCCTGATGCTGAGACATCCTGCAGACGTGTGGTCAGTGTCTGAGCCACAGCTGGTCCTGTCTCCCTGGGCTATACTTTTCTCATCTATGAGATGGGCTGGTCCTCCCTGCCCGCAGGTCAGAGAAGACCTGCACAAGGTGGGTGCTCACTTAGCGTGAAGGAATCAGCAGTGAACACTTTAGGGTCAGCAGTGCGGCCACCGGCGGGAGCAGGACCAGACCCTGCTCTGTGCCACAGGTACTGACTTCACTGGGTTTTGGGTGACTTATACGCAGCAGTTTAAAGAACTCATGTAGCCTGGTTTTATGGTATAAATACAAACAAAGTTTTCTTTGAAATGCAACTGCTCCACCACAAATGTCTGTCATTCCTGGATGTGCATGGAGCCTGCTGTGGACTCAGGAAACACAGGGTGGGCACAGCAGGACAGGTGGGCAGTGGCCTCGGTGCCTTGGGTGTTTATAGATGTTTGGTATTTATATTTTATATACATAGTGTATACATATGTGTGCATATATCAAACGTCATATATTACACATATGAATATACATACACATATATCCCCCCCACACACACACACACACATTCTTGTCTAAAAAGGGTCACCTTTCATCTGCTTCATTCTTCTTGCTCATTTCCGCTCCACACAGTCCCTCAGGACTCGGCCGTGGGAGGATCACCTGAAACCTCCCTCCCAAGGAATCTTCTCTTGCTGCTGGGAATGTGGGACGAGAGCAGGCCTCTTGCTGACCATGCATAACCCTCCAATGCCACACCCTTCCCGCCTTCCCTCTCACCTGAGTCACCCAGTCACCTGTGGACTGAAGGTGTTTCACACCAAGAAGGCAGCCGGGAGCAACCCCACACCACATCTGGGCTCAGAGGGCAGTCCGCAGGCTCGCATTCCCAGCTAGAGCCAGGGAACCCAGGGTTGATGACGGATTACCACCTACACCACACTTATCTTTAAAGGACCAGCCACCCTGTGGAATCTTCTGAGACGAACTTTGAATTCTCCCCTGGACCTTGTAGTAGGGGCTGGAGAACCAGGAATGAAAATGTAGTGAAACAATGGATGCAGAAAAAAACTACTTCCTCCCCATATAGTGTAGCTCGAGTTCCAGGCATTTTAGTTGTTGAGCTCAAGACATAATTAACACCAAGTAAAGCCTGTAACTATTCAAGGTACAGGGGTGCAGGGGCTAAAGTCCCTTCACGAGCAGCAGGGGGCCCCTAGGAGGTCCTGGCAGGCAGGAAACGGGGGAGCTGTCCTGCTGGTCTTTAGAAT